CTGACTGGGACAGGTTATTTCCCTACACCACGACAAATTCAGCTCTCATGGCAAAACCAGGAGTTGACCAGGAGTTTATGGGCTTTGTCCCGTCAGGCCTTACATTTGGCCTTCTTCTGCCATGGAAGCGGCGCAGTTCGGCTTGGGTGGGGGGGGGGGGACCAAATGGTGCTCAACAAAGCCTGTCTGCACAGGGCACCTTGTCAAGAACTATGAATTCCTGTTACCAATGTCGCACTCGCACCATTTCGCAGCCTTACATGAGTTTACAGGTCTTGCCAACAACCTAGCATTTTAATGATAAAATGAGCGCAGCTTCGCCAGGTGGGGGCAGGAAATAGTACTCAGCGAAACCTGTCCACGTCACGCTGTGAGAACCTGTTAGTTCTTGTAACCAAATGGAATTATTTGTTCCATTTCGCTGCTTCGCAGTTCTCACCAAAATAAGACTGTTAGTTAACACGAACTAGAGAAAAGGAGCCAGTGAGGGTGCAATATCCCCCTCCCAAGCCGAACAGTGCCAAATGATTATTTGAGTTACTCGTATTCTTTTCCATATATAAGAGAATTGTTGATTGAAGTTTGTTATAATAATTAATTAGACGTGAAATTAAGTGGATTGCTTTCAGTGGACCGAGGAATCATGGCGTGGTTTGGACGAGAAATCGAATGAACGCGCCTACGTCGCATGTAGTTTTCATGTAGCGAATCCAGGAAATTGGGTATTCACGCCGTTGATACCCAGGGAATCGGCTAATATGTAAGTTTACAGCTATCTCGGGGCGATTCTGCCAGGAGGGGGCATTTAGAGGACTCCTTGTGCAAAACTGGAGACTTGCTAGGAGAGAACTTTTACTCCTTCCAAGGCTCCTTCTCCCTGTAGGCTCAGGTAGGTGTTATCGCCCTCATAACGGTAATACCAGTTTTGCCAAGAATTTGTTTAAATGCCCCCTCCCCCTTTCCTAGCGGACGTGCGCTGCACTTTCTCCCTTCCTAGAGGGCTCAGTTTTTACGTTTTTGAGTTCATGTGTGATTTTTGCAGAATATACATAAATGTGTTGTACAATACGCGATCCTGTGATCAATATCATGATCCGAAATCGTGCAAAGAAACGTTCAATCTTTTCGTGAAACAGTACGATCGAAAAGTGAACGATGTGGATAAGGATACGTTCAACAGGACGATCTCTACGTGGTTAGTTGTTAGGAGAAATTGTGCTTTCTCCCTGGAAAATATCGATTGATTTTTCATTCGAAACTCTTAATTCTGGTGTTTCTAGGGCGCCAGTATCGGTACTCACTAAAGACACGACTGCGGTGATTTCTGAAACAACCCAGTCGGTCACCCTGAATCCTTCCACGAAATATGTTCGTTTCGGTTTTGAGGAGAATGGTGTCTGTGTCTCGTTGCTGACAATTACGGTAAGCCCTTTCCGTGTTATTTTGTAACAGTTTTTGGACGCATGTTGTTTTGGAGGGGGCATTTTGCACTTTCGCTAATTCTCATTGTCGTGTCGAGCCATCAAGTAGAGACTTGTGAAATCTTGTAAAGCCACGTTATCTCTTGTAAAGCAATCAATACGACAGTGGGAAGTAGTGAACGTGCAAAATGCCCCCCCCCCGCCCCAGCCCCAGAACGAATTGCGCCCTTTTTTGTCATCCATTCTATTTTTCCTAATTAGGCTAATTGGTGGGTTGACAAGCGCTTAATTGACGTCATAGAAGTCGCAATCAGTCCAAGATCTACTGTACTGTACATGTCATCGTATGTTATTATGAGATCAGTGTCCTTAATCGGCTCGGAATTGTTTCGCCTATCGGGGCATATCTGGTGCGCGAATCGGATGGTGGGGCCGTAATCGGTCGGTGCTCGCTTGTCCCCCCGTCTATCAGGCTGTCCTTTCGCGTTATGTTCTCATTAACATGGACCATATTGTAGATGACAAATCACTATCGGCTTCTTATATGCTGCCGGAGTGCGCAGCTAGCGAAAGCGTTTCCGGTCTGCTATATCGCAGCGGCTGTCAAGTAGTGGCAATTAATCAGATTCTTTGATGTGAAGAGGTAGTGGAGGATTGGAGGCAAGAGGCTCAAGTCTCCTGGGGGCTGGAAGTGGCCGGAGGGGGCATTTTGGGAGCTCCTGTCAGCGTGCCGGGCAATCTTGTGAAGTCCTGTGAAGTTAGGGGTTTCATTTTGAATCTTTAATTCGCATGCGATCCAGCCGCAGGTACCGGCGGCATTGAAGATGATGCGATGCGGCGTTGCCAAACCCTTTCTGGGCTCCACTACTTCCAGGGTTAGAAACTCATCCATTTTTCGAATAGGTACTAACCTTACTCGTAGTTTCGATTCACTTAACTTATGGACCCCCCCCTCCCTCCCTTTTTGGTTAGACAATTATTTGTCTGGAATATCTCTCGATTTCTACCATGACACCAGCATTTGAGGCTCAAGCAGCGCCGGAAGCGAACGTATGAGTTAGAGGCCAAGATTTTATCCAAGTCTAATGAAGGTAGCTGTGGGTGACCAACGCTTCCTTTGTCGGTCTCTCGTAAAGGCGTCCTATCCGAATTAGTTGCTAGTACTTTAACTGAACATTTACAATAAAATAAAAGACCCCTTTTGGCATGGGAGGGGCATTTTACTCTTTCACTGGTTCCCTTTCTCTAGTTCATATCATGTAATAGGTCTCATCTTGGTGAGACCTGTAAACTCTTGCAACGCTGCGAAAAGTGAGCTACTTTGGTTCCAAGAGTTTCATAGCACAAGGGTTGACAGGACTTTACAAAGTTGCCCGGTATGGTGACAGGAGTTCACAGAATGCGCCACCCCCTTAACTTCTGGTAGCGGTTCATCGCTGGAAATTGATCAGGAGAGTTTCGAAGGTTTCTCGTCTTCGAGGGATTAACTCGTATATGCGCCGTGAAGAGGGTCACGCTCAGAGATGTTTGACCGTGTTTTCCCCCGAAACTGCGACTTTTGAACGGGCGTGCTCGATAAGGGGATAGTTCGGGAAGTCTGCAAACAGCGGGGCCGAGGTTGCTTTTTCGCTGGATTTTTTGAGGGGTGAGCTTGATGGAAAAGTCTGCATCAGAAGAGAAGGTCATAAACTGGGCCTTCTTCGCTTCTCAGTCTTCGAGTATGCCCCCTCCTATCGTCGCTACTATTAAACAGCCCGAATTATCCGCTGCAACGACTCTGCCAATTGAACTGGAGGCCAATTCATGTGGCGTAATATATTCTTACTCGTGTTTACGCATGCTTCTTGGCTTTTATTGCGGTTTGATGGAGGGATGTTTCATTTTGGCGCGTCATGCAATTCGTGCCCGTACGTTGTCTAATGAAATTGGGTTGAAGAGAGGGAGAGGATCCGACGAGTGAGACAAACGAAGCGGTAGAGGAGATGACCACCCCAAGTGATCGTACTACTTCAACGAGATTGGTGAGATTCACACCGGGGGATTAGTGACCCTCTTCCGATGGGTGTTAATGTAACCCCCGTTGGGATCAATTGTGATGTTCATGGGAATTGTTCAATTGGGAAGCGCTCGTCTCGAGAAAAAAAGGGGTTCATGAGACGGAAAGTGATAGGGCGCGTCACACGTTGGGGAACTTTCAAAGGGGGAGGGGGTGAGCCCGTATTTGGTCGCTAGAGAAGGAAAGAGGCTGCATTTGGCCTGAGAACTTTTTTCCACTTGTTGATTTCCACCCTACCCATTTTTACCCTATACCCCCTCCCCCCCCGCTTCCTCAGTCGCAGCGTTATGTGCACCTCCTCCCCCACCGGTCGATGGCGAAGGTTTGGCTAAGGTTTGGCTGAGATATGGTCGATAGTGAAGGGTTGTTCTATCCGAGGGAAAAATTTAAGGGGGGGGGCTCATATTTAGCAAAAGTTCAGCCCAAGGTGTCCTGTGTGCTTGCCGGGCTGATGGAAAAGGGAAGGGGTGCAAGAGGTTTCTCAGTACAAGCTGGCTGTCGATACCTCCTCCCCCCCCCCCCCCCCCCCCCCCCCCCCCC